AAGAATGTTACCGATTTTCCTTAAGTATTTGTCCACAGCAATTCCAAAAATTGCCCTGGACAACCATTCTTTTCCAAACCCTCTCCTTGGAAAAATACCAATTTGACGGGTTCCCCCCCCTTACCCCCTAATTATTTTGTTGCTGACCTATCTGCAAATTTTGGTCTTCACCCCTACGTTGCCAACATCGTTGCCCCCACCCTGAGACAGAAATAGGATTGCCCCTTTACCTCTCTGAGTCATCCAGACGGCTAACAATACCTCCACCCCACCCCCAGAAAGCAAATCTCTGTCTCCTATCCTGCCCTTCAAGCAGAACCCCCTTTCCCATTACCTAATTGGCTATCCAAAACAACAAAATATTCTTCCCTTCCTTGGTGTCGTTCGTCGGACATTCCCAGAGTCGACTCACATTCGTCGGGTAGCATGAGAATTGTTAGATGTTTCCCCAACAGTTTCATGGCAGTTCTTTTTTCAGTTTCTACCTTTCCATTCGTCTTTTTGATCGTCAACTTTTTCCCCGCTGTCCAGCCAGTGACATTTCCCTTCTTGCCTGAGGACTCAAAAGGGGAGGCATAGAATTTTCTTTTTTTTCCCGGTCAGTCGCCGAATCTATCTTCCCCCATCCTCAATTTTTTCCCAAAAGCTTTTGGGAAAAGGGTTTGCTCGGGGGGGCAAAAAATTTTAGAAGGCACAAACAGGTCTTCACAGAGCAAATACCAAGTCCCCTGGACCCATTAGTACCTCGAAATCTTTTTGACTCCCCTCGAAGGAGGGGTATGGGGTGCATAAAAAAGAGTTTAAATAAAAAAAAAACGCCCACCGTTTATAACTGTTTCCCTTTGTCACTCCCCGTCCTCCTGCCCCAGGATGGGGTTGCGTGTTGTGGTGAAAGCAAAAAACGTAGATTCGTTATATTGGGCTGGGGTTCCGGGTGAATTTTTCTAGAGTTTTTGTAGAACAGGTGCGCCCCGGGGACGTGGTGCCCACCGGAGGGCTGGTGCCACAGGACACTGGTGCACCCACGGATTCGGTGCCCCCACAGGGACAGGGACCACCGGACGCTGGTGCACCACAGGGACGGGGTTTTTAACACAGTAAATTTTTTTGAGTAAAAGTGTATTTTTATGAGACAGTAGATTATTATGAGTGGTAGTTATTTGCGTGTAACTTTCTAAAATTCCTCCGGAAAGCGCTAACTATCAGGTTTACAACGTTTTTTGGTTAGTGGGTTTTTAAATCTTCTTGTCAACTTTCCGTAATTCACAAATCTACAGGATCAGGTTTCCCCGAGTCAACTGTTTTCCCTGGGGCGTTTTACCAGGGCAGGGTCACTAGTAGGTGCCTTTGAATCCGGCTCACATAGCCAGGAGAAACTAAAAGCGGATCAGGTAGGAACCGGGGTTTTGGGCTCGACCCTTGCAATCACAAAAATGTAAGACACACACACCAAACAATCACATGCTACCAATCCAACACACACGCACAATCATACACGCAGTTTTCCATGACAACAAAAACAGAAAATTTTCAAGGCCAGTGTGTATGTGAGGTGACAACACATTTCTCTTTTTTTGTTCCTCCTCTAACCTCTTTCAATACGTCGAACCCCCCCCCCCTTGCCCTCCCCCTCCACCCACCACTCCCAAAATTTGGGGGTCTTCAGGAAAGACGAATAAGTCTGGGGATTTTTCCCATGGTTAGTATTTTTTGAGAGGAAAAAAAAAACCAAAAGCGTTGGTGAGAGATGGAGATGACAGAAAGAAAAGATAATCAACAATACAAAAAAAATTTTATTTTTTTTTGTAGTATAAAAAATGACCCAAACCCTTTCCCCGAGGTATTGTAAACAGAACAAAATTAGTGCAATAAAGGGAAGTAAATTAAAAAAGAAAAAGGCTCAAGAAATTCCAAAGAGTCCTAAGGGAACATTCAGATGATGCCTGAAAAGGGAGAAAATTTTTTATTTTTAAAAACGAAAGAATAAACCAGAAAAAGTAGAAGGACCTGGTGCAATTTTGAGAACACTCGTCAACATCAGTGGCTCAAACCTTTAGCTACTCCAGCGTATCAAAAAATTGCCGGAACGAATGGAAAGTTTTCAAGGAAAAGTGGACTTTACCCCTCAAGCTGGCAGCCAGGGGGCAAGGCTATGTGGGCCTACGTGTGCTACACAAACGCCGGTTTACCAGTCAAAGAGAAGCTAGCCCCAGGCCGGGGGGTGAGGGGTAAAGGCTCTTAAAAAAAGGTCACAATAAAGCAGAATAGCAATTTCAATTTTGGGAAAAATGATGACCATGAGGGGGTGTCGAACATAAAAATTTGAGGAGCATAAAAGGAAAGATAAAAAACTCTTAATAAAAGTAAAATGAAAAAGAAGCTGATGGAAAAAACACACGCCAAAAAAGTTACGGGTATCAGAAAAAAATAAGGTTTTTAAAAAAGTGCAATGAAAAAAAACATGGTAAAATTGGCGCCATATCGTCAATTTCAAAAATTGTTTTTTAAATTTTAGCATCGTCATTTTCCTTAACTGTTGGGGAAAGTTGTCGATGGAGGGCATCTTTTCTTAAATTTTGTAAGAGCGCGCAACGGGCTTCACGGCTAATTTCACGTCACCACTGCGCAAAAGCCAAACAATATAAAACCCAAATCAGTCAAAATTTTGTCCCCTTTTCGTGCATCACCCAGTTTTTTGTCCACCGTAATGAGTGTCCACCTCCCTCCCAACAAAGCATCCACGCAACGTTCCGAGTCAGTCCAGTTTTTCTCGTCGAGTGAAAATTTTATTTATATTATATATATATATTTTATATTATAATTTAATAAATTTTTTATATAATTATAATAATTATGTGGTGTGTGTGTGTTGTATGTAGTGTTTTGTGACTCACCTATATGTGGTTGCAAGGGTCGGCATTGCTCCCGCCCCGCCTCTTTTCCCGGGGATTAATCACTCTCTTCTGCTCCATGAATTTGTAAAACTCTTTTAAAGCTATTTATGGAAAATTGCTTCCATATTCACTCTCAGTTATTCCATTCCCGGGCAACTCTAAGACTAAAGAAATACTTCCTAAATCCCATGACTTTGGGTTTTCGTTTTTAATTGTGTCCCCGTGTTTTTTATCCCATCTCTGAAACACGAACTTGTCCACGTTGTCAATGCCCTTATATTTTAAAAAGTTTTTTATCATGTCCCCCCTTTTTCCCCTATCCTCTATGTACAGGTTGATTTCCCAACCCTTTCCCCAAATTTTAACTACCTCAGTTCCGGGGAATTTGTTTTAATTTTTGCACTTTCTCCAATTTTGGAGTGTTTGACTAAGTGAGGGTTCCTCTGGCCCTGTATTTCCCGTAAAGGCCTTTTGTACACTGTGTACAAAGTCGTGAAATGATCCTTTCTCGATGTGTGTTAGTTACCATTTTGTCTAGGCAAATGTCTTAGAAACCCGGCCCGTTTTTATTTTCGAGTGTGTGTGTGTGTGTGGCACCCCCTAATTTTTGGTTTGGGGGAAGGGCATGCTCCTGGCCCTGCCCTTTACTGGGCCTACTAGGTCACTTTCCTTCCATGAGCTTTACATACCTTTACCTCTTCTTAAAGCTATGCAGGAGCTGCCCCCCTACATCACTTCCCCGACTATTCCACTTCTGAAACTCTGTGACTGAAGAAATACTTTTCCCAAAATCCCTGTGATTCACCCAGTCTTAACTTCGAATTTTTTTACCCCCTGTTTCGCCGCGCGCGCGCGCGCGCGTGTGTGTGTGGTGTGGTGGTGTGTGTGTGTGTGTGTGTGTGTGTTGTGGCGTGTTGTGTGTGTGGTGTGTGTGTTTTGTGTGTTGGGGTTGTGTGTGTGTGTGTGTTGTACTCACCCATTTACTACCCAGTGAGGTTGTAGGGTCGAGTCTGAGCTCCTGGCCCCCCCTCTTCATGATCGCTACTAGGTCCCTCCCGAACCCCTGGCTTTATCATACCTCGTTGTGTGTGTGTGGTGTTTGTGTGGTTGTGTGTTTGTTGTGGTGTGGGTGTGTGTTGTGTGTGGTTTGTGTGTGTCAACATACCATAGTTTACTAAACATAAACACCCAAAACCCCACAAAACAACCCCACACACACACACACACAACCCACACAACATGCCTCTAAAGTTCCCCTTCAAAAACCAGCAAAACCTACCCCTGCTTGAACGCATGATCTATGGCATTTTCACATGTCTTTTGTGTTTTTCGTTACGAACAGGGGGGCAGATGACGGTACGTGTCAGCATCCACCCGGAAGGGGGAAAAGTTCCCTTCCCAATTTAAATGTAAGTTTATTCCTTGAACTTTTTTACTTTGAAAAAGTAAAATTGTTGTGAAATGTGTCTCTTGCCTTGTTTGCTCTCTCCTTTGATCGTTACTTTCTTATTTTTATCTCTCGCTTTCCTACTATTCACTCAATCATTCTCTCTCTTTCCCCTCTCTGTCTCTCAAGCAGGCATTGTCGCAGCCATTGAAATATTTGTAATTTCAGTATCCAATAATTGAGAATATCAGGACTGAATGGATGAGCAATGCTTGCTACAAAGCTTCGAGGACTCCTTGCAATAACTCAACGGTCCTTTCGCTCAGGGGTCAGAGATCTGCAAGCTGGAAACCCTTGATCCAGATACCCTTCAACGGGGAGGTGCATTGATGCTGACGATAGGCTCTTGATCTAAGACACTGGAACCAACGTATACATGGCCCCTGTGGGTTTACCATTCTCCCTTTGAATTTAATAATGAAAATAATAACTGACCTATATAATTCTCAGCTGACAGAAAGATAAACCTCCTTAGAAGACGGCCTCACTGTGGACTTCCAGTCTTCTGCTGTCTCTTCCATGTATTTCTGTGTACTTTAATTTTCTCTTTTTTTTTTGGTATGCTGCTCTTAAGAAGTCTCAGTTTTTCTGTGCACTTGAATACATAACCTGTATCTAGACGAGTATAATATAACTAACTCTATCTCCCTCTCTCCCAGCATCAAGAGTTCGAATACACTAACCCAGACTCTGTGGACGGGCAGAATCTGTTTGAGAAGGACATAATGTTGACTCCTGAGCAATGGCAAGCATTAAGGGAGAGGAAAGCCATTCGTAAGCTGGTCTACCGCTGGCCAGATGGTCCCGACGGCTATCCATTAGTTCCTTACTACACAGTTAGTGGAGGTACAGTCTGGGCAAAAGTTTCCTGACACACTGAGGAAAAAGTGATACCCTTACTAAATCTGATCTGACTTGTCAGATATCCCCTTTTTCCCAGCACACAATGTCGAGAAATTTTATATCCCTGTTTTTATGTTAGATATGGCAGTGGGAATATGTGTACATAGCTCTTTGCCCCCATTTTTTAATTTTCAGTTGGTGTTACAGGTGGAAACATTGGGACGTGTTTCCTTAAAACACCTGCTGTCCATGTTCATCTATGAGTAATATAGGTACCTGGGTGTTAGTCGACTGGTGTGGGTTGCATCCTGGGGGCAAAATTGGCCTAATTTGCCCAAAATGCTCTGCATAACAAAGGGCTTTCTATATAGAAGTATGCCACTAATGTGCATACTACTATATAGAAATGTAATTCTCCCGTCATGTGCTCGTAATTCGTTACACAATGAACCTTTTCACCTTTTAACAAAAACAACTAGATGGTATTTTGGTTACTGTGAGATCCGACAATGATAATACCGAATCCCATTATCCCACTCCCTCTTCTTCAATGAAAAGGGGAATAGATAAAAGGGCAAAAATTTGGGGCAAAAAAGGGGGTTTTTTCAAAATTACCCCAAGAAACTATGTTCTATTTTTTATAAATCAAAATTCAACTGGATCTAAAGGCAGAACCCATCAAATCTTCCAATGGAAGACATCCCACAGCTGAAAATTTAAGCCAGTTCAGTTAGAAAAAAAAAAGATGGCCAAGGTTTTTTCCAAATGTTTTAAAAATACAGAATCTTTTTTTTTTTAATTGTGAATAACATTGCCGGATTTTTTTTAAATACTTTTTTAATACATTAGGGAATTTCTGTCTTTTTCCCCTATTTTTTCCCAAAAAGTGTAAAAAAAGTCTTTTTTTTACCTTGAATGAAAACATCGGACTGGTAATTGGTTGTCCTTCTCCTCCACGAAACTTAATTTTAACCAGTGTAGATGTATTGAGGGGGTCACGTACTTCTGTTTTGGGGGGCACGTGACCAAAAACTAAAGTAGGGTTTTCCTTTCTCTCTGAAGGATGGTAGAAATTTTGTAATGTGAAAAATTATGTGAATGATGATTCTTAAAATGTCACAATAACAGATAATCACTTCGGTTTCTTGTTTGTTGTGTTCAGTTAATGTGACTGCAATACTTGCTGGCCAGAAGCACTGGATGGACAACACCTGCATCAAGTTTACTCAAGTTACCAATACCAATCAGCCTTGCCTCAAATATTATTATGGTTCTGGATGTTGGTCTTATATTGGACGTCTAACCACTAATGGCCAAGATGTCTCCATAGGCAAAGGCTGTGACACGGTAATTCTGACAGGGAAAAAGTATTTCCATAACAAGCAATTTCAGGCTGCTGATTGAAATTAATGCTAAACTATTTTATTGCCGAGTTCGATAATGCTTAGTGTTAGTTATATTGCATCTATATCTGAGCACCGGGACATTCTTATACACCTACCCTTGTACTTGAGACTTAATAGGGTTATAGAAAACCACGAAGCATTGTATAGTTTAACTTGTAATTCCTGGTCAGACACAAGCTGTCGTGTGCGCTCTACACACGCTGTTTATACTTCGTAATACCTTTTATATTTCTGGTGCTGCTTTTTTTTTTTTGTGGTGAACACTGACAAAGAGGTTAGTGCACTTGCTTACCTCTTGTATTAGATTCATTACTAGGTAATAGAAAATATTTCCAGTCTGGTATAAGAATGCAATTTGACTCTCTAATAAGAATAATGAACTAAAAATACGAATATTGGAAACAATGCCTGACACCACAACAGATTCTCAATTTAGTTGAATAGTATAAAGGGAATAAATTTCTTTTTCTCCCTTGGAACACTTCCCTGAGTTTAGTTATAAAATTACTGTCCTTACGGAAACATGTTCGTTAGTGATCAGAGTAGCTTTCACATAAATTCTTATTAATGTTTATAAATTCTCATTAATGTTTATAATACATATTACTTAGTTTAACTAAACTAAGCAAAGTCTGTGCAAATCTAATTACGAATTTCACATTTTTTTCCCACAGCTTGGCACGGTAGTTCACGAGACTGGCCACGCCATTGGCTTCTTCCATGAGCAATCACGACCCGATCGAGACGGCTATGTTAATATAATTTTCTCGAACATCGACTCTAACATGGCGTTCAACTTTCTCAAGTACAACACGACCGATATCAACGACTACGGTGTCCTCTACGACTACTCTTCCGTGATGCACTATGGCTCCCTGGTAAAATGATGACGACGATGATGGTTGTGGTGATTTTTGGAACCATACCCCCGGCCGGGATTGAACCCGCGGTCATAGAGTCTCAAAACTCCAGCCCGTCGCGCTAGCCACTAGACCAGCTAGCCACAATAAGATTCATCCAACTAGGTATATTTCTACACCATAGGAAAGTTAGCACAGGCACCTCTGTGACCACAAATGCAAGTTTTTACAGACGAATCTCCAGCTAGCGTGGCCGTGACGAACTCTAGCTCAAGTCCCTTCACTGCCGTCAACATGACTTAAGAAATCGTAATGACACGATTGCAAATAAACCATACCCCCGGCCGGGATTGAACCCGCGGTCATAGAGTCTCAAAACTCCAGCCGTCGCGCTAGCCACTAGACCACTAGCCACAATAAGATTCATCCAACTAGGTATATTTCTACACCAGGAAAGTTAGGGACAGGACCTCTGTGACCAAAATGCAAGGTTTTTACAGACGAAACTCCAGCTAGCGTGGGGCCGTGGACGAACTCTAGCTCAAGTCCCTTCACTGCCGTCAACATGACTGCAAATCCCGGCCGGGGGTATGGTTTATTTGCAATCGTGTCATTACGATTTCTTAAGTCATGTTGACGGCATGAGAAGGGACTTGAGCTAGAGTTCGTCACGGCCCCGCTAGCTGGAGATTCGTCTGTAAAAACTTGCATTTGTGGTCACAGAGGTGCCTGTGCTAACTTTCCTATGGTGTAGAAATATACCTAGTTGGATGAATCTTATTGTGGCTAGCTGGTCTAGTGGCTAGCGCGACGGGCTGGAGTTTTGAGACTCTATGACCGCGGGTTCAATCCCGGCCGGGGGTATGGTTTATTTGCAATCGTGTCATTACGATTTCTTAAGTCGTGATTTTTGGAGATAGTAGTGATGACAATGGTAGTGATAAGTAAGATGGTAGCAGTGATACTAATAGTTGTGATTATTATGATAGTTATGACACTGATGGCAAGGGAGACAGTGATGATGTTAACGACGATTATAGTCATTATAGTACTTGAAGTGATAATGGTTGTGATATTGATGATGATAGTAAGTTTGATGGGTGACGATGGTAGTGCTGATGAAGGAAGTGAAGATGAGCATAATAGTGACGTCGACGATGATAGCTGTAGGACAAACACTTTTTACACCTGTAAATAACAAGTGATCACATGTGCTTATCAAAGGTCACATGATGTAGCCACAACTCTCGTCAGCCTGTCAGGCCGCTACATAAAACAATGGCGTGTAAAAAGAATATTTGTTTGCTATTAAAGATGCTATTTACTGAACTAATACAATGTATTATCACCAGAATCCAATTTAGTACATACTTTCTTTAGGTAAGATGCTAGGTACCGGATTTTAATTCATCTCATACTTTCCTTTATAAAGTTAAGGGTTGGACTCGCCGGTGGTGCATAACAACTGTTATACACCACCAAATACACAAAATGCTGCAGCTCCCTGTTATGTATAATGTATTGGGAGAGACAGGCTTTCTTGGGACTGCTTGGGAAACCTTCATTATAATCAGGGAATTTTATCTATATTTCTGATCAGTTTATTACCCGTAAATTTATTCGTAACTGGTCAGTCTTAATCCTTGATGCTGGTGAAGGGCTTTTGATTGTAAGATTTTTTTCCGCTTCTTTGGATTGAACTTGATTACTTCCCATTCCCAGGCAGTGTGTGATGGTGGTGATGGTTATAATGTTTAAGGTGATAATGGAGGTGATGGGAATGCGGTGATGTTGATACTGGTGATAGGGATGGATATGGTGGCGATGCTGGTGATAGTGAGGAATATCGTAATGATGCTTCTAATAGTGACGAATATTGTAAAGAGGATGCTAATAGCTATATTGTTCATAGTAATTAATATGATGATGATAGTGAAAATATGATGATGCTTATGGTAGTGAAGCTTGTGATGGTATTGATTAATGGTGTTGATAAGTGAAAATGATGGTTGTGATAAGTGGTAATGATAGTTATGACAGTGATAATTTCTACAGTGGTTATTTCAGTGACTGCGAGAACCAATCGAATTTTTTTTTAACTCCTCCAGTTTCCTTCCGTTTTCAGTATTTTTCAACGAACGGGAATTTGACCATTAGTACTATCTACCCTTTCGCCCAGACTATCATTGGCCAGCGCACTGGCCTCTCTCACCGTGACAAACTTCTGGCCAACCGTATGTACAACTGCACTGGTGAGTCAGATATTGTCTCTCTCACGGGACTTTAGTGAATGTGTTGTTGTTATAAGAGCAGAACTGTGTTCGCTGTATCCCAAGTGTGTGTGTGTGTGTGTGTGTGTGTGTGTGTGTGTGTGTGTGTGTGTGTGTGTGTGTGTGTGTGTGTGTGTGTGAATAGTTTAGGTTCATTTTGATGTACAGCTTAACTGAACCTGTGATTGACATCAGCTTAATTGATGAACAAGACGCATAACCAATTCCTAGGTATTTGAAGTGAGAGATGTTTGGCCCACAAAGGGTTTTATCAAAGTACCACGGAAATGTGAGAAGAGAGACACTGATAGTAGAGTCAGTGGAAGAGACGGAACAATACAGCAATAGATGACGTCGTCACATGTGGGTGGGGCCCACTACTGGAATTACAACAAGTGAATAAGGTGAGCCATAGATTTAGCAATCAAGTTGTAGAGACATCATATGGTTTCCCACAAACAGCCTAGTAGTGAAACTTGTAAGAAATTCTGTCAGTTATAAACACTGTATATTTGAAAGGAGATTTTTTTTATTTTTTTGGTTGGAATCTTGGTATGGAGGAATATATTGACTTTCAACCTTAAGTATCTCCTTCATAGCCAAGAGAACTTCTCTTAAAACTTATCCCTAGCTCCCTTCTAGGTCAAGTTTTAGTATTACCCGTAAGGAAGCCAGAGAATGTCTCTACTACTCGACCAGCACACATGAAAACCACATCTATTTCCCCTACATCGCTCTGCTTCCAGTGTCTCCACTGAAAAAAGTCTCCCTTCACTTAGCTGTATAAAACTGGGCAAAACGTCTCTCATTAAAAATACTAAGGTGTTCACATATGTTTCATTCATCAGCTTGTGGCATCATATACCTCTGATCACATTATACCTGTCTAACACAGCATCACCATGGAATGTTGGTGAAGAAAATATCGTAACTCTCTACCTGCAATACACTGTCTTTATAACCTAGAGAACTTACTACAGGCTTCTTCACTATCTTTCTTCTAAGTTTCTATTATTACCTAATATAAAACTAGAGTATGTCTATACATCCCAAATGCTAATTCTCTGACGCACGGAATGGGCTTGATCTATTTCCACTAGTGAACCTCCCCCACATGTAATGACATCTACAACTGCTCAACTTTCTCAATCTGCTCCCCGGTCATGTCGATGTTGTGGGGAATGAATCACCTTGACAATCAAGTGGTGGATCTCCTCCTGGGTCTTGAGACAGGCCCAAGTTGGGCACTACCACCACCTATAAACAAATCTATGTGTATTTGTCGACAATGTTCCATTCACCCACTGCAAACATTGGCTGTATTCTGTGTTGCGTTCTTTCCATATGTTGCACCAACAGCTTATGTTACTGTCATGAATGAATTTACTGTCACTCTATTTCCGTGGTACCGGGGTTTTGCTCTTGTGTTTCTGTGTATATGAGTGTTTGTTTACTCGGTGTTTTTGTGTCCTTGTGTTGTGATACATCTGTTACTCTTGACTAAAAGTTAATTTTGATTATATAATCATTTTGCTCTTGTGGAAAGGTAATGACATTCGAATATGGTTACTTAGTTTTGGAACTCTCATATGGGTGAGTTGTTGCTGTGCTGATGTCTTAATCTAACTCTTATGTAAGCGAGTGTTGATGTTTCATGGAACTCTTGTGTTGGTGAGCGTTGATGTGTTACTGAAAGTTTTGTCCCAGTGTGTGTGTGTTCTAACTGGGTAAGAAAGTCTTGGCACTGATGAGGAACATGGCAGCTTCACCTGAAAGTGCTTCCCGAGTCGAGTGTGAAGATAAAGATACTTAAAGAAGTGCACGAATTTTAAAGGTTATTTCCCCACAGGCAAGTGGCTAGCGAAATGTGGTCTCACCGCTGACCCGTGTCAGAACGAAGGCTACACTGGAGTCAACTGTACATGTGTGTGTCCTCCTGGTACCTCTGGAACAAGGTGTCAGACTGTTATAAGCGGTTACTACAGTAAGAACTCCATTACTGTAACACCGTTATTTCCTTGACCATTTTTTTAAGTTATTCGCCTTTAATACGAGAATGCTAATGTTATTAACAAGTTTATGAAATGCTCCCTTTTCTTTGGCTCTGTCTTCTTCTTCTTCTTCTTTTTGATTTGCCGGTACTCTCCAGGCCCGGGCCTTTTCCAAATGGTGGCCCGGCCTTGGCTCCCTCTTTAGGGAGTATCTGAGACCTAAGTCTCCCATGGGAGGAGGCACAAGTACCTCCTCATCTTTGGGACCAACTGTCCCCAGGCCTAGCCACAAGCTAGGCCTCTCTGGTCTGCCATCCCCGCCCCAAGGGAGCAAATGGGAATGACAGTCTTATGAGCTAAAGGCTCGGGCTCAGGCACCTCCGTGTGTTCTGTCTGTAACATTTTAATACAAACAAAATAGGCCAACAGAATTCAACCACCACCAGATGGCCACTAGGGACCTAGCAACTTATAACTTCAATCTGTTTTATACTAGTGACTACTAAATCACGACCCGCTTGCTATTTGTCACACATCAAACACGCCTGCTTGCTACTAGTGCCCCAGTTATCACGACCTGTTTTTGTAAGTAATTGATCAACCACGACTTGCTTGTTGCAAGCAAGCAATTAATCACGATCTGCTTTAAGCTGGCGACAAATCAACTACGTTCTCTTTGCTACTAGTAACACATTAACCACAGCCTGCTTGCCAACGACCCACCAGCCATGACCTGGTTGCTGTGATCTACCAGCCACAATCTACTTGCAAGTGACCTACCAGTCACGGCCTGCTTGCTAATGAACCAAGAGCCACGACCTGCTTGCTAGTGACCCACCAGCCACGATTTGCTTGCTAGTGACCCACCATCAAAGACCTGTTTCCTGGTGATCCACTAGCCACAACCTGCCTGCAAGTGACTCACCAGCCACGACTTGCTTGCTAGTGACCCACCAGCTACGACCTGTTTGCTAGTGACCCACCAGCTACGACCTGCTTCCTGGTGACCCACCAGCCACAACCTGAATGCATCCAAATGACCCACCAGCCAAGACTTGGTCGCTAGAGACCCACCAGCCACTACCTTCTTGCTAGTGACCCACCAGCCACGACTTGCTTGCTAGTGACCCACTATCCAAGACCTGTTTCCTGCTGATCCATTAGCCACAACCTGCCTGCAAGTGACCCACCAGCCACGACCTGCTTGCTAGTGACCCACCAGCTACGACCTGTTTGCTAGTGACCCACCAGCTACGACCTGCTTCCTGGTGACCCACCAGCCACAACCTGAATGCATGCAAGTGACCCACCAGCCAAGACTTGCTCGCTAGTGACCCACCAGCCACTACCTGCTTGCTAGTGACCCACCAGCCACGACTTGCTTGCTAGTGACCCACCATCCAAGACCTGTTTCCTGGTGATCCACTAGCCACAACCTGCCTGCTAGTGACCCACCAGCTACAACCTGATTGCTAGTGACCCACCAGCCACGACCTGCTTTCTGGTGACCCACCAGCCACAACCTGCCTGCCTGCAAGTGACCCACCAGCCAGGACTTGCTCGCTAGTGACCCACCAGCCACGACCTGCTTGCTAGTGACCCACCAGCCACGACCTGCTTCCTAGTGACCCACCAGCCACGACCTGCTTGCTAGTGACCCACCAACCACGACCTGCTTGCTAGTGACCCACGAGCCACGACCTGCTTCCTAGTGATCGACCAGCCACGACCTGCGTCCTGGTGACCCACCAACCACGACCTGCTTGCTAGTGACCCGCCAGCCACGACCAGCTTGCTAGTGACCCACCAGCCACCACCTACTTACTAGTGACCCACCAGCCACGACCTGCTTGCTAGCGACCCACCAGCAACGACCTGCTTGCCAGTGACCCACCAGCCACGACCTGCTTCCTAGTGACCCACCAGCCACGACCTGCTTCCTAGTGACCCACCAACCACGACCTGCTTGCTAGTGACCCTCCAGCCACGACCTGCTTCCTAGTGACCCACCAGCCACGACCTGCGTCCTGGTGACCACCACCACAACCTGCTTGCTAGTGACCCGCCAGCCACGACCTGCTTGTTAGAGACCCACCAGCCATGATCTACTTGCTAGTGACCCACCAACCACGACCTGCTTACTAGTGACCCACCAGCTACGACCTGCTTGATGGTGACCCACCAGCCCACGCCCTGCTTGGCAAGTAAACCTAACCAGCCACGACCTGCTTGCTAGTGACCCACCAGCCACGACCTGCTTGCAAGTGACTCACCAGCTACAACCTGCTTGCTAGTGACCCACCAGCCACGACCTGCTTGCTAGCGACCCACCAGCCACGACCTGCTTACTAGTGACCCACCAACCACAACCTGCCTACAAGTGACTCACCACCCACGACCTGCTTGCTAGCGACCCACCACTCACGACCTATTTGCTAGTGACTCACCAGTGACGACCTGCTTGCTTGTGACCCATCAGCCACTTCCTGCTTGCAAGTGACCCACCAGCCACGACCTGCTTATTAGAGACTCACCAGCCACGGCGTACTTGCTAGTGACCCGCCAGCCTTGACCTGCTTGCTAGTGACCCACCAGCCACAACCTGTTTGGTAGTGACCCACCAGCCACAACTTGATTGCCTGCAAGTGATCCATCAGCCATCAGCTTGCTAATGACCCACCAGCCACGACCTGCTTGCTAGTGACCCACCAGCCACGACTTGCTTGCCAGTGACCCACCAGCCACTACCTGCTTGCTAGTGACCCACCAGCCACGATCTGTTTGCGAGTGACCCACCAGCCATGACCTGCTTTCTAGTGACCCACCAGCCATGACCTGCTTGCTAGTGACCCACCAGCCACACTCTGCTTGCTAGTGACCCACCAGCCATGACCTGCTTGCTAGTGACCCACCAGCCACAACCTGCCTGCAAGTGTCCCACCAGCCACGACCTGCTTGCTAGTGACCCACCAGCCACGACCTGCTTGCTAGTGCACCAGCAGCCACCACTTGCTTGCTAATATCCCACCAGCCACGACTTGGTTGCTGGTGACCTATCAGCCACGACCTGCTTGCAAGTGACCCACCAGCCACGAACTACTTTCTAGTCACCAACCAGCCACGACCTGCGTGCTAGCGACCCACCAGCCACGACCTACTTGCTAGTGACCCACCACTCACGACCTGTTTGCTAGTGACCCACCAGTCACGTCCTGCTTGCAAGTGACCTACCAGCCACGACCAGCTTGTTAGTGACCCACCAGCCTCGACCTACTTGCTAGTGACCCACCAGCCACGACCTGCTTGCTAGTGACCCACCAGCCACGACCTGCTTGCTAGTGAACCACCACTCACGACCTGTTTGTTAGTGACTCACCAGCCACGACCTACTTGCTAGTGACCCACCAGCCATGATCCGCTTGTTAGAGACCCACCAGCCATGACCTGCTTGTTAGAGACCCACCAGTCATGACCCGCTTGTTAGAGACCCACCAGCCATGACCTGCTTGTTAGAGACCCACCAGCCATGACCTGCTTGTTAGAGACCCATCAGCCATGACCCACTTGTTAGAGACCCACCAGCCATGACCTGCTTGTTAGAGACCCACCAGCCATGACCTGCTTGTTAGAGACCCACTAGCATGACCTGCTTGTTAGAGACCCACCAGCCATGCCCCTGCTTGTTAGAGACCCACCAGCCATGACCCGCTTGTTAGAGACCCACCAGCCATGACCTGCTTGTTAGAGACCCACCAGCCATGACCTGCTTGTTAGAGACCCACCAGCCATGACCTGCTTTTTAAAGAGACCACCAGCCATGACTTGCTTGTTAGAGAACCCACCACCATACCGCTTGTTAGAGACCCCCCCAGCCATGACCTGCTTGTTTAGGACCCACCAGCCATGACCCGCTTGTTAGAGACCCACCAGCCATGACCTGCTTGTTAGAGACCCACCAGCCATGACCTGCTTGTTAGAGACCCACTAGCCATGACCTGCTTGTTAGAGACCCACCAGCCATGACCTGCTTTTTAAAGACCCACCAGCCATACTTGCTTGTTAGAGACCCACCACCATGACCTGCTTGTTAGAGACCCACCAGCCATAAACCTGCTTGTTAGAGACCCACCATCTGACCTGCTTGTTAGAGACCCACCACCATGACCTGCTTGTTAGAGACCCACCAGCCATGACCTGCTTGTTAGAGACCCACCAGCCATGACCTGCTTGTTAGAGACCCACCAGCCATGACCTGCTTGTTAGAGACCCACCAGCCATGACCGCTTTTTTTAGAGACCCACCATCCATGACCTGCTTGTTAGAAAACCCACCAGTCATGACCCGCTTGTTAGAGACCCACCAGCCATGACCTGCTTGTTAGAGACCCACTAGCCATGATCTGCTTGTTAGAGACCCACCAGCCATGACCTGCTTGTTAGAGACTCACCAGCCATGACCTGCTTGTTAGAGACCCACCAACCATGACCTGCTTGTTAGAGACCCACCAGCCATGACCTGCTTGTTAGAGACCCACCAGCCATGACCCGCTTGTTAGAGACCCACCAGCCATGACCTGCTTGTTAGAGACCCACCAGCAATGACCTGCTTGTTAGAGACCCACTAGCCATGACCTGCTTGTTAGAGACCCACTAGCCATGACCGCTTGTTAGAGACCCACCACCATGACTTGCTTGTTAGAAAACCCACCAGCCATGACCTGCTTATTAGAGACCCACCACCATGACCTGCTTGTTAGAGACCCCCCACCATGACCGCTTGTTAGAGACCCACCAGCCATGACCTGCTTGTTAGAGACCCACCAGCCATGACCTGCTTGTTAGAGACCCACCAACCATGACCTGCTTGTTAGAGACCCACCAGCCATGACCTGCTTGTTAGAGACCCACCAGCCATGACCTGCTTGTTAGAGACCCACCAGTCATTACCCGCTTGTTAGAGACCCACCAGCCATGACCTGCTTGTTAGAGACCCACTAGCCATGATCTGCTTGTTAGAGACCCACCAGCCATG